TTTTTTAACAGGATGAAGCTTGCCTTGTACAAAATCCCATAGATTTCCAGATCCCGTATACCACCCCAAAGTAGAAAGCAGGAACGTTCTGTGAACATTTTGTGGCCAACTGGCCACAGCTCTGGCCAAGCAGAGGGAGCTGTTAAAGGGGAAGGAGACGCAACACAGAGAGAATGGTTCTTGGCCCTTAAAAACAAATGTTTGAACAAAAGTTAAAAAAAAAAAAAACCTCATTCTGACTTTATGAATATCCACTTGGCATCCCCCAAAATCAAATATTCATATTGTTTCTTCAACTCTCAACTATGGTATTTCAATTAGAAGGAAAATAGTGAATGGAAGCCACTTTGCTTTTACTGGATTAAAAATAAAAAAGAATTCCCTGGAGGCCTAAGGGAGATCGCTCTGGGGAGGCAAGCTGGGCCGAGGCAGATGGGGGGTACAGAGGGAGCCTCATCTGCTTCACGGGATGGACCGGACCAGGGCTGAGCTCAGAGAAGGAGAAAAATGCAAAAGTACTGCTTGCCACCAAACTGGGCCAGAACTCGGGGAGCACCATGGGTGCAACTTTAAAAGCAGTGAAATAAACTTGTGTGAACCGACATTTAAATCCAACAACCAAACATGACTTCTAAAATAAATGAGTTCAAAATGACTCTCCAATTAACTTTTGAAGCAAAAGTTTTTCTAGGTGAGAGACTTCCTACATGATGCAAAAACAAAAAACAGAAACAAAAACATACCATGAAGCAATGTTCCTTTGGGGAGCTCTGTAAAGTTACAGAGACAACAACACCAACAAAAATCAACGGAGACAACAAACCAGATATGTTGGACAAAATGATTTTAGCCCTCTATAGTGATGCTGTAGCAAGGTCTTAATTCCATTCAACTATTCAATAACACCATGGGCATCATGAGATTTGAGTTTATGTAATTCACTAATTTGTCTATTGGTGAGTTATAAGGAAAAAAAAGAAGCTTGAAAAACTAAGTTGTTTAATGAGTCAATCATTTAAGGTAGGCTTAGGTCCTCCGAGGTGAGTGGTGACATTCTTATCAGTAACACTCATGAAGACATTACCGATGGTGACAATCAAGTCACTGACTTCCCACTTTAAACCATTTTGGAGACAATCCCGAAGTCGTATCTTTTAGGTATTTATTGGTTTATTCACATATTTGTTATCTACTTCACCCGACTAGAGCATGAAGTATGTTATGCTTGGATCTGGAACGTTCCCCAAAACTCCTATGTTGAAGGCATGGTCCCCCGTGCAGCAGTGTCCTGAGGCAGGGTCCTGGAAGTGACTGGTCACAGGGCTCTGGCCTCCTCTGTGGATTCCTCCATTGCTGTCTGGATGGACTAGTGCACTGCGGGAGGCGACGGGAACTGTGGGAAGGTGGGCGTGGTTGGTGAGGGGTCTGTCTCTCTCTCTCTCTCTCTCTCTCTCTCTCTCTCTCTCCCTCCCTCCCTCCCTCCCTCCTGGATGCCATAAGCCAAGCACCTTTCCTCCACCACACTCTTCCATCATATTTTTCTTCGGCCCTGCAGCCACCTGACCTTGAACTAAAACCATAAGCCAAAATAAACGTGTCCTCTTTTAAATTTTTCTTGTCAGGCAGGTATTTTGGACACCACAACAAAAATTGGACTAACATGAGGTAGTTATTCACCAAGGGCTCCAGGACCTAGAATACTACTCAGGACAGAGTAGTTGTTGAGGGAAAGAATAAATGGAAAATATGATAAAATGATTTTGCTATACTCTTCCTATTCAAAAAGTGTAATGACTAATGCTGAGATGGTTGAATCTGTGGTTATTCCACTGGCTAAAAATTTCTTAAATAATAGCCTATGTCTTATTTTTAAATTTTTCTTCTTTATTAT